TCCAGAATTCCCCAGCCAGCTCTGGGGAGTTGAAGTCCACCCATCTTAAAGTTGCTGAGGTTGAGAAACACTGCCCTAAAATGGAACTCAGAGGTCATCTATCCAATGCCCTGACCTGTCTGCATAATTTTGTCTGTCTGTCTGTCTATCTATCAAATTTGTCATCGCCCATCTCATTAAAAAGTGACTCTGGACGGTGTCTTAATCCTATAGTGGGCCCTGAAAAGCTCACATGGGGCGAGGTCATGGGGAAAACGTCCCCACACCAGTGTGCCCACCTCAGCTGCAAGAAAGGCACCTTAGGTCTGGATTCACACAACCTGCTCACCTTGGCACAAACAGGGTCGTTTCTGGCTCAGCGTGTTGCAGGAAGCCATAGGATGGAATGGTTTGGACCCAGGGTGATGTTAACCTACCTGCAGGGTTTTGTGAAGCCAGGTTTAGAGATGAAGGTCTAGCTTGTTGGGGAGAACTTGTGAACCCAAACTTCCGCCACAGTTGGGGAGAGGGGGGATTTCCCCTCAGGTGGGCAGAGGAGGCCATTAAGGTAATAGAAGGAGAGACGTGGATGTGATTTTAGAGGTCATCTAATCTAGCCCCCTGCCGACCACAGGATCCACTGGAGGAGTGTTTCTCAAGCTCTGCAGCTTTAAGCCATGTGGACTTCAACTCCCAGAATTCCCCCAACTGGGGGAATTCTGGGAGTTGAAGTCCGCATGGCTTAAAGCTGCAGAGGCTGAGAAATGCTGCCTGGAGCCTCTCTCACAGATGACCATCCTGCCCTGCTAAGACGGAGGGTTTGGGACTTTCAAGCATCCCACCCACTCCAAGCAGGGGTCAGAACTGGACCCTCTGGGCCTCCAGGCCAGACCTCCAGATGTGTTGTGGCACAGGACTTGCAGGAGAAGGGTGGGTGACTAGACAATACCCACCCATGAGGAGGTGGATATGAGACCCTACTGTTCAGCGGGCTCTTCCCCCCGCCTGATCCTTTGGTGAAAGTCCAACAGGTTGGGAGTGGGCACCGCTCCCGCACTGAAAACGTTCTCTGCTCCCTTCTAGGCCCCTTCACATCGCTGTAGCTCAGGGGAATCTTCTGGCTGTTCAGCATTTAGTGGTGCTCTTCCAACATGGACAACGAGACCTGGATATCTTCAACAACCTACGGCAGGTTAGTGCAAGCGACAAGGGGACCGTTGTGTGGGACGCGCCTTCTGGGAAGGGATGGGTTGGGCTGGCGCGGGGAGGGGGCCGCCATGAGCAGGAGGCTGGTTTTTGTAATCCGAATTTCAAGATCCAGGGAGTTTCTGGGCAGCGATTGCCTTATGCCGAGCTAAGATGGTGCTGTCCTTTGCGAGGGCCGGCATTCGTTCTTCATTCGTTGGAGATGTGTCCACGTCGAACCCAGGGCTTTGTTGCATGGAAAACACTGTTGCAGGGTGTAACCCTGACCTGCCACCCTTCCTGGTTGAGGGGAGAGGGGGGTCCTCAAAGCACATAGCCCGAAGAGAAAGCTGCTAGCATTTCTTTGAGATTACAATTTGGGGCTTACTCTTCAGTCTTGCAAAGTCTGGGACAGGGAAAGGGACAAAGCCGATCTTGCGTTCCAAGTTAGCAACTGTAGTTCCAGTAGCGCAAGTAAACTCACAGTGGAGGCTTCGTGCATGTCCAGTCCCCACTGCATCTGGGAGATTTCTTGGAAAATTAGCAGGACCACTGGGATAATTATTCACGGAGGATCAATTCTTCTGGGAGACCGTTTGCCTCTTTATCAACCTCTCAGTGCTTTATAGGAAACTGGTAAGAACAGTTTAATCATTGCCTGCACACAAGCCCTGTTCCCCCCTTTTCCTACCTCTGCCTTTTAGCATTGCTGATCTGTACCTAAATTAGGGGCAGATCTGACTTAGGACGCAAAGTTTATCCGAGGGACGGCAAACCTTTTGGGCTCGGCGTGTCCAGAACTCGGAAAATGCCTAACTTGACTCCACTGGTGGGTCACACACACACCCCCCCGAACAAAAGAGAAGCAATTCTTTACATATTCATTTATTTTAAAAAAATACAGTCCGATCATGTGTGGTGCTCTATATTATATAAAGAAACATCAAATAATTACAAAATGAAATACGAGTAAAACAAACTCAGTTTCTTTGGTGACTTGAACGGGGAGAAGAGTTGTGGTCGGGTGTTGGTGAACGCTGGTGTGTCACCCCAAATGTCATGGCATGTCACTTTTGACACGCGTGTCATAGATTCACCATCAGTGTTCTAGGATATGTCTCCTAGGCGTGAGATGGTTGGTTTCTTCACCTCACACTCAGTTCTGCATCAGCCTGACTCCATTTTGCATCTGGCTCTCGCGGTTAGAGCTCACATCTGTAATAAAATACAGATGACACCCATCAATTCATCAGTTAATCTTGGCTCAGGCAGGGGACTGGTGAGATTACATTGGAAGAAAGGCACACACCTTTTTCTGCGCATTGCAGAATCCTCTGGCACCCAAAGTTTTCACGGCGGAAAGGTTTTTTCGGGTGCCCATTTCAAAATCTTGAAGCACGTCTGCCACCTGTCCTCGTTGCCACGCATGTATATATTCTGCATTCCTTTTCTTCTGTTTTAATGTAAAACAAAGGTGCGCTTTCAGAAAAGACAATATCAATAAATGGACAGAGAGTTACTGAAGTGATACGGTGAATGCTCAATATAACATTAATAAAAGATAAGCCATGCCGAGCAAAGTACATTAAGCTGCTTGGATGATACACAGAAAAGAAGGACGGTATGAGTGTTTGAGCTTCGTGCCAAGATCTTCACTACAGTACATTATGATTTATACATGCTTCTAAAAAAGGAAAGAAAAAGAAGAGAGAGACACCCCTAAAAGTAATATGAATAAGTCTTTTTCAAGTCTTTCTCAAAGAAAGAGAGGGGGCAAGGAGGGAATCAATGTTAAAACATAGCACTGAAATCAGTTTCCTAAGAAGGAATTGCACTTAAAAAAAAAAAACAAGTTTCTAGCCCTTAAGTCTGAGAAGATAGGCTTGAATACACAGAAGCAGAGGAGCAGCTGAAGCAGATTTCCATGGTGGGGTGCGGCTTTGGCATGTGGTGATTTCCTGATGCCTCACCCCCTGCAAGTAGGAAAAGTTGCATCATGCCTTGTGGGTAGACCGAAGCCAGTGGGCTGCGTTTCTGTAATTCACAGAAGGCAGAATTCAGCTCTCTCTGCAGCGGGGTTGCCTTTTTCAAGACAGAACTGGGAACAAGCGCAGCGGAGAAATCGGGAAGTTGTTGGAGCAGGTAGAGGCAAGGTCGGGAGGAGGGGTTTTCCCGTCCTGGGGAGAGGATTGTTTGAGAGAAGCCAGCAGCACAAAAGCAGCCGCGGATGTTCCCAAGTCAGAAGCCGAGAAGGAATTGCGGTTCGTCGGCAGAACTGAGCTGGCCGGGCAGGGAAGGGGCTGTGCTCGAGGGGATGAGGCACTGGGGAAACTTTGGAGCCGTTGTTCTCCCCCACCCAGCCTGCCCAACAGGACTGCGGTCGGGGGGTGAAAATGAGGGGGACTACGATACGGGACCACCTTCAATAAAATAATCTCAACTACAAGCCAAGGGAAGACGGCCCCGAGACTTTTTCACTGACAGAGTTATGACAGAGAGCAGGGGTGTCTGTCAGGTATGTTCCAAAAAGTCAAGATGGTGGCGGCAGTGGTGCAATGGAAGCTCCACCCATTTTTATGTGCAATGCATAAAAAAATGGGCAGAGCTACAACTGCAGCATGGTGGCTGGCACCTTGACTTTTGTGACCATACCCTGGAGCTTTGATTGCATCATTGCAATCCCATCTTGACTTTTTTGACCACACCTGGAGCTTTGATTGCATCATTGCAATCCCATCTTGATTTTTTTGACCATATCTGGAGCTTTGATTGTGTCATTGCAACTGCCATCTTGACTTTTTTGACCATACCTGGAGTTTTGATGGCATCATTGCAACCACCATCTTGACTTTTTTGACCATACCCTGGAGCTTTGATTGCGTCATTGCAATCCCATCTTGGCTTTTTTGACCATACCCTGGAGCTTTGATTGCATCATTGCAACTGCCATCTTGACTTTTTGACCATATCTGGAGCTTTGCTTGCATCATTGCAACCGCCATCTTGACTTTTTTGACCATACCCTGGAGCTTTGATGGTGTCGTTGCAGTCCCCATCTTGACTTTCCTGATCGTACCTTGTGAACACCCCTGACAGAGCACAGATTGTTGGCTTAGTTCCTGGCAACTGTTTGGGCTCTGCACCCCCCGCCCTTGGGACTTTCCCTAGCCCCGCTGGTGGCGAGGCCCGGTGTCACTTCCTCAAACTATTACTCAAGAGCAACTCGCTTCATGGTCAGCAAAGCTGGATCATAAGTGCTGAACAGCTAGGAGAGTGGAGGAAATTGGGGTCAGGGCTTGTGTGTCAGTTTCTGACGTCTTCATTTTGGTGCTTTTCTTACACACCCATTGAGGCAACAGCAGCTGAAGATGCAACTGAAACGGTTACAAAGAGAACATTGGAGGCTGTAATAAAAGCAGCATTGGATAAGGAACATGCCTGGGCAGGGAGGGGCCCAGCGCTTGATGAAATTGAACCATGAAAGATGGTAGGATTGCTTAAAAGCTACAAATGAAGGACCAGCAAAGGGCTTTGGTGAAGGTGACTGACATGCACGGGGTCACCACAGAAGAGACCCCAGGAATAGTCTTCTTCTGCAGGTCGGAGTACAGAAGCTCCTGAATTTGGGATTCAAGTAGATTTGTATGAAGGGAGGGGGTGCTTCAGAAGTCCAAAGGTTAGTTCCAGAGAGACTTGAACCCACAGATACCACGCACAGAGTGCCCGCAACAGTCACCATTTTGAGCAGCTTCTAAGCTTTTGCAGAAACATCTCTAGGCATGAGACACTGAGTCCCACAATTAGATTTAAAATATTTGTTACATCCAGGAAGATCAGAAGGGCAAAATGTTTTTGTGATCACTAAGAAAAGTACATGGATGTCTCCATGAAGTCACCAGGGGTCCAGCTTAATTTCCAATAAGTATATGCGTGTATTTTTAACTCCCTGGAGAATCCCAACTGGCTAGAGTCCTTCTGCAACAGCCCAAAAGCTGAAATTAAGGTTCCTTTCCTCCCAAATAATCTTTTCTAGAATAATCTGAAAATTCAAAATAATTCTCTTCCCCTTCCTCTTTGCTGCAAGAGAGCTCTTGCTTTGTGTCTTTGTGAGGATAGTTCTTGGATCTGGGGAGAGGAAGAAGTCCTCTGCTAACAGCCAGGAGCTTAACTCTGCAAAGGGAGGTCATCTGTACCCCAGAGTAAATGAGTGGGGAGCATGGATTCTTCCCAGGCATTCAGTCTCAGATTTCAGGGGAAGGGATTTTGATTGATTGATTGATTGATTGATTGATTATGTGCCAACAAGTCAGTGTTGACTCTTAGTGAGCACATAGATAGATCTTCTCCATGATGACTTGCTCCTAACCTGGTCCTTCAGCTTTTCCAATGGCGCCCCCATTGCCTCTGTAACCAAATTCATCCCCCTTGCTTCTGGTTGTCCTCTTCTTCTCTTTCTCTTTCCTTCCACCTTTCCCAGCATCAGAGTCTTCTCCAGAGAGCTGGGACTTTGCATAATATGTCCGAAGTAGGATCATTTGAGCCTGGTCATTTGTGCCTTGAGTGAGAACTCTGGTTTGATTCGTTCAATGACCCATCGGTTTGTTTTCTTGGCTACCCACGGTATTCTTAGGAGTCTTCTCCACCACCAATGGAGCATCAATATTCTTCCTATCCTGCTTCTTCAAAGTCCAGCTTTCTCTTCCATAGAATGTCACAGGGAATACCATGACTTGCACAATTCTAGTCTCTGTAAGATATAGATACATCACAGCATTTGAATATCTTTTGCAAGGTCTTCATGACTGCTTTTTAAAAAAATGAAATTCCAGGGATTGATCCTGTTTTCTTTAGGGCTCATAAGGTGTCTTACTCTCTTTTTTCACCCTCGCTGTCCACCATTCTAATTGTTTCTTTTTCGATGTGTCTGGTACGTTTTTGATATGTTTGAATGAAGGAATGAATCCTTATTGCAGCCAAAGGCCAGAGGTAGAAGGTAGAACCAAAAACAACAAAGAATAAATAAAAGAATAATATAAGCAATTGTAATAGTTGATACAAAATGAATGTTACAACAGTGGGAGACCTTCATCAACAGATGCCTGATTTTCATAGCTGCTGCATAGTATTTTGCTACAATCTGAGTTATAGACAATTTACATTCTGAAAAAAGGAACATGTAAGTACTGCCAGATTGCCCAGGGTATTGATGTAAAAGAGGCAGGATGTAGACATTATGAATGTCCCTACAGATATTTTGATTCGTCTACATTTGAGCAAAACATCATTATTCTTTCAGATTGCAGTGTCGTAGTTGTTCCCCTTTAGCTCATTGTGATGGACAGCATTCAGCAAATCAAGTAGCCCATTCTAGAGCATCAGAGAGATGCCCTTGAGGGGGATAGGCAAGAACTCTTATATAAGCGAACAGGGCTGAAATATTCCTTAACCTCTGGGGAGCAAGATAGTATTTGGAAGAGGCTCAGACGCGCTTCTCCCTGATTCTCTATATTCATCCATCCTCTCCCTAGGATTCAAGGCAAAACTTGAACAGGGGAGGAGCAGAAGAATTGTGTTTTGCTAGTCTGTTTCTCTACCTCCTCATTCCTACCTTAAAAGGATGGCCAGTCAAGGATGACTCCTAAAAAGCACACGGGCCTAGGCTTTGGAAACAAACTACAGTTAGGTCCTCATTTAGTGACTGCCTCATTAAGCGACTGTTCGCAGTTACGACGGTGATGAAAAAGTGACTTTGTGGCCAGTCCTCGCATTTGGACAACCTTCGCAGGCCTGTAAGGCAAAGGAAAGCTGAAGTCAGATCATAAAATCACGATGTTCCACTTAGCGATCACCTTGCTTCATGACCAAGTCGCCAGTCCCAATTGTGGTTGCTAAAGGAGGACTACTGTATTTTGTTCCCAAAAGCCACCTGCGCCTTCGTAACCAAAGTCTGCCTGCATTTCTTGTGCACTTCTGTTGGCTCGTGAGGGCTGTGAAGAAGCGAGACGGCAGCTTTGCCACACATTTGGGCTGCGCCTGTCCCATGCATGTCCTATCAATGACCTGCCGTCATTTCCCTCTCTGTTTCTCATAAACCTTGCTTGGGACCAGCCCCCTCCCTTTCTGAGAAACGTCTGACTGCATGAGTACAGGCAGGTGTCGGGGATGCGGTTTGATCATGGGAACCAGCTGGGCTTCCTCCGAGCTGGGGTGAGTAAGATCTGTTGAGATAAAGCCGGGGTGCCTGGCAGTTGCGCCGCAGTTGTTCCAGGGAAGAGCGCCAAGGACAGTGGGCTCTGCCTGTGGGCGTCTCGGTTTGTTGTGTGTTTACTTCCTCTGCAGTCGGGTGAATTACCCAGAAATGACCTGCCACACAGCAAGATTTCTCCACCCACCAGGCGTGGAGAGACACCGTTACTGAAAACGCATTCCCCAGCAGTGGAAAGAACTGAACTACGCACGCTCAGTTTGGGGGTTGGATTTAGGTTCAGGTTCAGGTTCAGATTTTTTTTAATTCGGTTTGTACGGCCGCCCATCTCAGCAAGGGACTCTTGGCAGAGAACGGTCTTAAAATACATTAAAAACAACTTCTCATCAGAAATACAAAAGTTATTGTATTCGGTCAGGCCTGAATCGATTTCATTCAGAGTCTTTTGAAGCTGTGGTGCGACCACCTTCTCCACAACCTTCCCTAGAAAGGGAAGGTTAGAGGCTGGATGATAACTGTCTAGGTTGGTTGGGTTGAGCGATGGTCCCTTGAGGAGGGGGCGCACCATCGCCTCCTTAAGAGCCGGCAGGACAACCCCCTCCCTCAGGGAGGAGTTCTGGGACCGCCTGAACCCAGTCCCATGTCCCACCCATCTAGATTTAGATTTGTGACCTGGTGCCCCTTCAGTGCTTTGGGTTACAACCCTGCCATCTCAAATCCTGGGTTGATGGGATCTGTAGTCAGGCAAATCTGGAGACCCCCAGATCGAGAAAGGCAGTTCTAAAGCACTTTGTAAAATCTGAAGTTGCGTTGCTCAGAGCAATCTGGTTTGCCTTTTCAATTGACGTTGTCTGACCTGAAAGCTAAGCAGGGTCGGTCATGGTTAGTACTAGGAGGGGAGACTCCCAGCAAATTGGAGAGCTGTAAGCTAGGTGGGGAAGTCAAAACAACACCTGGATGAAAACAACAGCAAGCCATTTTCATATAGTTGCCGAGAAAACTGTACAGATGGGTTGATGAAATCGCTCCTGAACCGAATGTGAAGGATTTCAACATTCATCCTTTACTGAAAAGCCCAGGGTTTTTCTTAAACTGCCTAAATTTAGCTGCCATGAAATGTCTACCTGTATCACCTGGCAGTGATCAGCCCCTTTTGCTTCCCAAATTCCAGACCCCTTTACACTTGGCGGTAATCACAGCTCAGCCAGCCTTGGTGAAACTACTGCTATCCCACAGAGCATCACCCATGGTGCTGGACCGGAACGGACAAACAGCGCTACATCTGGCTTGTGAGCATGGCAGCCTCTGTTGCCTGCAGGAGTTGCTGGATGGAAGCCCCACCCCGCTGGATCTTGAAGCCCGGAATTTCGAGGGTGAGTGTGGAGGTGTCATGGGAAAGCTTGCTTGGCATGATGGACGGAGAGTTGATGATTCTAGGAAATTTAAGAGTTTTTAGTATTGTCTTACCCATTCTGGGTTAGGTTTTTAGTTTGGAGAAGTTATAAAAGGGCTTTGTCTGGTGCCAGAAAGGCACCAAGGAAGGACCAGTCTAGCTTTTCATGGTAGGACACCATTGATGGGTCACCATTATCTAGATCAGTGTTTCTCAACCTTGGTGACCTTCAG